TTGAGACGGAGTTTCGCTCTTGTTACCCAGGCTGGAGTGCAATGGCGCGATCTCGGCTCATCGCAACCTCCGCCTCCCGGGTTCAGGCAATTACCCTGCCTCAGCCTCCTGAGTAACTGGGACTACAGGCATGCGCCACCACGCCCAGCTAATTTTTGTATGTTTAGTAGAGATGGGGTTTCACCATGTTGGTCAGGATGGTCTCGATCTCTTGACCTCATGATCCGCCCACCTCGGCCTCCCAAAGTGCTGGGATTACAGGCTTGACCCACCGCGCCCGGCAAAATTGTGTAATTACTTACAAAGTTAAACAATACTTATAACCCAGCAATTCCAGTCCTAGATATTCACCCAGGAGAAATAACATCTACAAAAAGACTTGTACAAGAATATCCATAGCAGCTGTACTCATAGTTGCCCCAAACTGGAAACAACCCAAGTGTCTGTCAAATGGTGAATGAATACACTGTGTATCTCTACAATGGAATACTGCCCCACAATAAAAGGGGACAAACTACTGATACAGGCAACAATGTGGATGAATCACCAAAACATTACGCTGAATCAAAGAAGCCAGATCAAAACAATTGTTTGATTCTATTTATATGAAATTCTAGAAAAGGCAAAGCTATAGTGACAGGAAGCAGATCAGTGGCTGTCTGGGGATAGGGATGGAGCAGTTGCCTTAGAAAGGGGCACACGGAGATGTTCTGAGGTGACAGAAATATTCTACATCTTGACTGTGGCAGTGTTGTATGGGTGAGACGTGTCAAAAACTCACAAACTATTCTCTTAAAATGGGTGTATTTTAATATAAATTATACCTTGATAAAGTTGATTTTATTTTTTATTTTTTTGAGACGAAGTCTCACTCTGTTACCCAAGCTGTAGTGTACAGTGGCATGATCTTGGCTCACTACAACCTCCACCTCCCGGATTCAAGTGATTCTCCTGCCTCAGCCTCCCGACTCCAGGCATGCGCCACCATGCCCGGCTAATTTTTTTGTATATGTTAGTAGAGATGGGGTTTTACTGTGTTGGCCAGGCTGATCTTGATATCCTGACCTTGTGATCCGCCCACCTCAGCCTCCCACAGTGCTGGGATTACAGGCATGAGCCACCACACTCAGCCAATAAAGTTGATTTTAAAAGAAAAAAAGTGGGATATTTTTAAATGTCCATTGTAGGCCAGGCGCGGTGGCTCATGCCTGTAATCTCAGCACTTTGGGAGGCCAAGGCAGGTGGATCACGAGGTCAAGAGATGGAGACCATCCTGGCTAACATGGTGAAACCCTGTCTCTGCTAAAAATACAAAAATTAGTCAGGCATTTGGCACGCGCCTGTGGTCCCAGCTACTTGGGAGGCTGAGGTGTAAGAATCGCTTGAACCTGAGCGGCGGAGGTTGCAGTGAGCCGAGACTGTGCCACTGCACTCTAGCCTGGTGACAGAGCAAGACTCCATCTCAAAAAAAAATAAAAGAAAAAGTCCATTGTAGCCCTCCTCCCATCTGCCATGCTGCTGAATTGTTTACTACCTCCTCTGTCCCATCTGGTTTGTGATCTTTTGGAGTGTTGGGATGGTGAGGTTTCATCTCTGTCTTCCCTCTGGAGCTCAGCACAGTGCCTGGAATATAGTATGTGCTCAATTCAATGTATGCTTCAGAGAAGAGACTGGGAAGTTATTGAAGAATCCTGGAACACTGTGAAGGGTTATCAAATTAGAAGACAATAGAGGTAAACCAACAGAGAGGCCAAGCTTAGAGAGAGATCTGTGGAATGAGAGCCGTGGGGATGGGAGACTGCCAGAAGGTGCAGGAGGCTACCGCTGGGTGATGAAGCCAGCAGGGACCTGAAAGTGAAGCGCTGAATCTCTGAATGCATCTATGGTGCTCAGAAATCAACTGTCAGAAAGTCCTTGATAAACAGCAGCTACCAGGTGGCTGATGCACTTGATACTTGGGAACACGCACAACCGGCACATGGGTTTCTAGAACATAGAAATTACTGTTTATGAGCTGTGGAGCCTAATAACCTCCAACCATTTAATGACATGGTATTAGGTTGAGCCATGTGAAATGGCCACTATTAGGCTCTGTCCTACAAAAATGGCAATTTCATACAATTCGACCTAAAACTTTATACTTGAGTTTCACACATAGTATTAGTTGCTCCTTAAAAAATCTTTGCCTTGGCCAGGCACAGTGGCTCACTTAAATCCCAGCACTTTGAGAGGCTGAGGTGGGTGGATCACCTGAGGTCTGGAGTTTGAGACCAGCCTGGCCAATATGGTGAAACCCCATCTCTATTAAAAATACAAAAAATTAGCCAGCCATGGTGGTGGGTGCCCGTAATCCCAGCTACTCGGGAGGCTGAGGCAGAAGAGTACCCAGGAGGTGGAGGTTGCAGTAGGCTGAGATCATGCCACTGCACTCCAGCCTGGGAAACAGAGCGAGACTCTGTCTCCAAAAAAAAAAAAAAATCTTTGCCTTACATTAGGCAGGTGTCCAGCACTCCATTTATCTGATCGGGACAATGGAGGCTTCACTGAGTGGTCAGTGGCTCGCCCATGGTTACACAGGGAGGAGGCAGAATAGCTTGGGCTGACACTGGGATTTTCTCACTCCATCCCAACTCCTCCAGCCTAGTTTGCTGAAAACACCTGGACTATGAGGAAAAGAACCAGGTGAAAACTTTGCAAGCTGTGGGGATAAGGTAGTACATTTCCAGAAATCTATTTGGCGGTATATATGAAAAACCATATATATGTTTGTTCCCTTGATTTGGGGATGTATCTCTTGGGAGTTTAAGATTCATGCACAAAGATGTTAGTCCTGTCTTTGTATAACAGGGAATTGGAGTCAGCTTCAGCCTAAAGCCCTAACAGTAGGAGAATGCTTAAGTACATAGTTAAATCTACTTAATGCGCCTTTAGAAATTAATATACTCCCAATACCCCTCCCAAGCTTATTCAGAATCAGAATCAGCTAACACCATTATTAATGACTCTGCTTTGTATTTTTAACAGATATATTTCTCAAGCTGTGCTGAAACATGGTGGTTAGAATGGTTGTGAAATCGAAGATCAGTTGTTAGCATGTCTTTCTAAAACTACTTAATGGAGAAAAGTTGTACACACAAAAATATCACTGCCACTGAAAACTGTTTATGAGGAGTTTTTAGTAGAAAATGTTTGGTGTAACTTTGAATTTACAAAAGGCAGAGCAAACTGGAGTAGTAAAGAGTGGCAGATGATTTTTTGTTTTTCTGTATTTCTCTCAACTTTCTCCAGTAAGCATAAAATACATTCATAAATATTTTTAACTAAAAAACAAAATAAAGCAGTAGTCTTAGCAGGTTGAAAAAATCAGGATCTTATTTGTGGAAAAATTAAAATC